ATGCTTTCCGCCAGAAGTAAACTTACTCCTAGAAAATATTTTTCTTACTATGTTATTTCACTTCTCAGATCGAATAGAATTCAATAATCATAGTATTTTCAATATTTTAATTAGTGAACTTAATTATTTGCAAACTGAAGGAATTGAAACTGAACCCAACAAAGGAGAAAAAATTAGAATCTATTTTGCTCTTGGTCTTCTCTTAGGGGATAATCTTGGATTAAATGGAATTCTTGGTTTTGTTGAGTTTTAATGCTCATTACAGCTGCAGACTTTGTAAAACTTCTAAGCACCAGTGGCAAACGGAATTTTTTGGAAAAAGAATGAGAGAATATACTTATGAATCTGATGTCTTACTAAAAGATACAGCTGAAAGTGATATAAAAGAGAAATCAATTTGGGATCAGATTTTTTATTTTAAAACAAGTCAAAATTTTACCGCTGACTGGTTACATAATGGGCCTGAAGAATGGTTCAAATTTGTAATACAATGTATATTGCATCATTACATTATGAAGAAGCCTTGCATTGTTTCACTCAATATTTTGAATGATCGGTTAAAAACCTTCGATTATTATCACAACAATATATCTAATAAGCCACCTTTAATTTCTTATGATGAGATTAAAAGCAAAAAATTGTCAATGTCTGGTAGCGAATTATCCAATTTTATTTTCATGTTTGCAATGCTTGTAGGAGATCTTATCCCAGAAAATGATAAAATATGGCCATTATATTTAAAAATGAGAGAAATTATGGATTTAATTTTAGCTCCGAAATTGCAAAGAGAAACATGTAATCTTTTTTAAGTATTAGTTAGCGAGTTTTACATGATGTTTGCGGAATTATTTCCAAGTAAAAGATTTACTCCAAAATCACATAATTTTGTTCATTATGGCACTATTTTTTAGTTTTCTGGATCTATTCGTAATTTGAGTACCATAAGATTCGAAGCAAAGCAAAAAAAATAAGAAAAAGAAGGCTAATGCTACAACATCTAGAAGAAATATTACACATACTTTATGTATTAAAGAGCAGTTATGTCTTTGCCACAGATTAATGAGCCACAAAGGCCTAGAGTCTAGTAACTCATACGGTAATGACGAATATGTTAAACATGTATCTCTATGTCATGATTATATGTTATTTAAATTAACTTTACTGCCTGATTTTGATGATACTTGTTTAGTAACGAAATGGGTTGAAGTTCATGGTCAGACTTACAGAAAAGGAACATGTGTAGTAATTTACTGTAAAGAGCATTATTATGACTCATTACTCGTTTTTGGTTTGGTAAAATCTATTCTGCAAAATGAAAAGGGTCAAATTTGTTTAATTTGTCAAATTTTAATAACGTTAAACTTTGATACACATCTTCATGCA